CAGTTGCAGAGCCCAACAGCAGCATTTTCAGAGTCTATGGTTCTAGGCTGCTGTTTATCTCTGGCACAGTTGTCTTTCACCTGCTCTCCTCCCTCAAGCTCTGTTTTTTTTGGGCCTACTCCAGTGATACTCAGGATTGTTCTTCTGCTCTAAAGACCTATCCAAGGGTGATCGGTGGTGAGGTGGAGGCTTGACCTCATGGGGGGATTTTTGTGATGGTGAAGAGCAAGGGTCTGAGACTTGAGAATGAGGAAGTGGAAGCAGCTGTTTGTAATCAGCCAATTTCTCTGGATGGAAAGACCAATAATTGATTGAAGGCTCCTGGCTGCGGTAGCCAATGGGTGACTTTTGATCAGACATCCTCCTGAAATCCTGATGGACTTGAATTCATCTGCTCTTTGTCTTTCAGAATCACAGTGGTGCCTAAATGGGTAGAGACAATCAAAAGGAGGCATCAGCTCAGGACAAAAGAATGAGGAATTTTTCCTAGTCTACATTCAATTACAGTGGAACCTATACTTACAAACATCCCTAACTACGAACAGTTCAACTTACAAACAGCTCCATCCGCAAAATTTTGCCTCTACTTGCGAATGGAGTATGAATAAAAAAAGGCAGGGGGAAAGGGCGGGAAATTTAAATTTGCTAACTGTTGGTGGCGAAGAGGCTGCTTCTTTGTAGTTCTTTCGCCCCAATGGTTAGAAAAACGGAGACTCAGCCTCCCGGGCTTTCACCACTGCTGCTACCACCACCAGGAGGCGAGCCGCCAGACCTTCCTGGCTGGGCTCAGCCTCCCAGGCTTCCAGCGCCACCGCAGGCTTTCCCAGGGCTCACCGCAAGCACCGCCTTTCTCCACCGCTGTGTGGGTTGTCCGCCACCATGGGATGCTTTCCCAGGGCTCACCGCAAGCACCGCCTTTCTCCTCTGCCATCCGCTGCTGGGCCAGGGTTTCCACACCGCCGACGCAGGCAGTGGGCCTCGGCAGTACTCTCCCTCCCTTTGGACTCTCCAACTTCTCACTAACACCTGGGTCATAAAGGAAACCACACACAAAGAAGAAAAAGTTACTTTTTAAACCTCTCTCTTAATGCACCCCAGCTTCACTTATGAATGTGCTCTGTATACAAGTCCTGCATATATCTGTATGTCACAAGGTGTTATCCAAATGTTTGCCCACTATGAACATTTAGTGTGCTATTAAACTGCCCCCCCCCAAAAAAAAACTGGAAACACATTGGCAGAAGTTTGGGAGACACATGTGGAGACCAAGCTAAAATATCATTCCTTATACCATGCTTGTGGCTCCGCCTAGTGGCAAGCATGGAAAGATGACTAGAAACAAACAGCATGGCAGCTGGAGAACTTCTGTCAACAAGCGGAGGGAAGTGGCTGTCCAAAATCTTTGTGAGGTTAACTGCTCTCCTGTCACAGTAGTCCCTGCATCCTTAGTGATCTCGGTCCTTATTGTACTGCTCATATGACTGTTTGCAGGATGGGTTATTCGGCCAGTAGTTTCCCAAGCTGCAATGAGGATCCACCAATCTCCTTGTACCAGTGTTGTTCAAAGTGATGGTGCTGTCCTCCTCCCCACATTCGGTTGGCATTTCCATCATCGCTGAATTTGCAATCCCTCTGCCATCCACCTCAGTCTGCAGAAAAGCAGAGGGTCTTTTGCAAGAAGAACCATTTACAAAATGTCCTTTAAGCAGCAAATGTCCTTTTCTGAACATGGCTGCAAGCCACCTTAGGGTTCAGTAAGAGCTTTGTAGGGGTTCCTGCTGGAGTACATCAGCAATAAGAATCTCCTAAAAGGCCCCTCAAGCAGGGCCATCTATTCCTATGCTGGGAATTGCACATCAAAGGATGATATGTGTAGTCATTTATTAAATCAATAAATTTAATCGAAACTTTTATGATAAATAATCTGAATATATCTATATTATCTTTATATTTACAATTTCACAATAGATATAATAAAGTTACTTTCTCAAGAGTATAGCTCCTAGAATTTCCCCATCAGCATGGACAATTCTGGAAGATACTGTATAGTCTTTCAAGAAGGCAATTGGTCAGAAGACATGAATTGATTATCTACTTTCATATATATCTACTTTTCTGATTAAATTAAATTAAATTAATGCAAGCACCAACGTCTACTTTATTACAACAGAAGTGGGTCCATTCAAAAGGGCTCATTCAATTTATGTCACGTAACTAGAACTTGCAAACATCCCTTTGGACTATAGCTATCAGGATGGGATGGCCATGCTGGCTCGAGGTGTTCTGCGATCTCTAGTGCAAATCTCTGGAAGAGGCACGTGAGGCTTAGAAAGGCTCAGTCAGTCATACAGAATCTCTTGGGAGGGGGAGGCAGTCTGGGATTCCCACCTTAATGTCACAAAACAAAGCAAGGTGCTAGTCCTTAAGGTTGATATGACATGTTTGGAAGTGAATATCTAGTACCTCCCAACACCCTGGTTACAATTTTCAGAGAGACTTTGGTGCAATATCTAGTATCACTCCTCAGTTTCCTCAGAGACAAGCAAAGCCAGGATAAAACCATGCAAAGTAAGAAAAAATGTGCAAATGGGCATAATTTATAAAAGCAAAGTATAAAAAGCTGGAGGACAATTACAGAGAATACAAGCACATGTTGCCATAGTACTGAGGCACGTGTTCACGCATATGGCAGTTTTCTTGATCTGTGTAAGCAGATTTGGACAATAATATAAACAAAACACAAACAAAACCTAAAATAAAATGAAAACAAGAAGAAATGGCTGTATTCACAAAATCTCACACTGAAATATAACAATCTTTAAGATCTTATAATGTTTTTGGGTTTTGCTTTTGTTTTTTGTCCAGATTTTCTTGATCAGTATGTTTTTGACAGGTAGCAGCAGAACATGTGTACGGCACAGTTTGGGGTGCACTGTTTTGGAGGTGCAGCAAGGAGTAAGGGAAGTTTTACCTATGGTGTTATAACTGTTACAGACCACAAACACATGCAAAGGCCAAGTTGTTAGCACATACAGTATGCAAGTGAATCATGTTAGGAAAGCCAAAATGGCTTCTGCTGGTGTAAGCAGAAATTCTATCAAACAGGTATCTTGTACCTTCTCTCTTTTTTTGTCCTTCTTTCTTTCTTTCTTTCTTTCTTTCTTTCTTTCTTTCTTTCTTTCTTTCTTTCTTTCTTTCTTTCCTTCTTTCTTTTTTCTTTTTACTTGCAGTTTGTTTGTTTTTCCTTTATTCTCCGTTTTCTTCTGCTTTTTCACAAAGATTTTAATCCACTCCATCCTCCTAGAGAAAAGAGAGGGGCATCCATCCCATTTATCTGTTGGAATCATTTCTTATCCCTCCTTTTCTTAGAAAGATTTCAAGGAGGATAACACCACTCCACAAAACAATTAAAGGAAGGAAGGAAAGAAGGAAGGTAGGAACAAACAAACAAACAAACAACGGTACTATTTAAAATGTAGTAGATGGACTCCCAACATCAGCAGAGCAGGACTGCAAACCACCAGGTACTATCACTTTGGCTTTAATCTGATCTCAATTGGCTAAACGTAATGAGTTTACTAAATTATCACCCCAATTCCCAGATGAAGGACTCAGGCTCTCTGTGTCACCCCCCACCCCATCAGCCAAACAGGAACATATGTTTCGAACAAAGGCCAAATGGAGAGGCTTGGGTATACACATGGTTTGTATTTTGTTTGGAAAACTGGTTTGTTACACTCATTCCCCAGTTACCTAAGCTGTAACCATAAAACACCAACCATACTCCTGCCTTCCATTCATGAGACAAGCCTGGCAAATCTCATCTTGCCAAGAACTGTTGAACATCCAAGAGCAACTTTCCTGGCAAAATACATCTTGCCATGTACTTTTGGACTTTAAGCTTTGGACCTTAGGTTCTTCACACTGGTACAAATGTAAGGAAGTGGTGTTTAGATCAAAGAAAGCTCTTTTACTGTATGACGTTTTTTCAGTGATCTAAGATTGAGAAATACTTGCCTATATAACTGAGACCATTTCTATCCACCACTTCCTGATCTTCCTGGAGTGGAAGCCTGCTTTGGACTGCAAAGTGGAATTTCAGGAGAGGAATCTCAACCTCCCAAAGCCTGGAGATTGAACCATCATGTATCTTCCCTCTCTCCCCTCTCTACTGTAGATGCCTCAATTTCCCCCTCCCCATTTCATTCTTTTGAATAAGGACCCATCTTTCCTTGTGTCATAAAATCAGTATATTATTAAAGTATATCATCAGGATGTTATTAAAGTATATTATTATCTAGCATTTTCTTAGGCTACTTATACTGTGGATAACCCAATTAAATGCTAGACAATAATATACTTTTTCCTGCAACATTCACTCAAAAGATTTGTGTCAACAAGAAAAAATAAATAACATTTTGCGCCAAACTAACCCCAATTCTGCAATCAGAAAACTGAATTCTATAATTTGTACAGGTTATACAAAGAAGTATCTGCTTCGTACCTCTTACTTTGCCTAATTAATTTTAAATTTTCCAGGTGTTTTGCAGAAAGAATATTCTTCTGCATTGAGAACTATAGAAGAGTGCTACTGGATGCAAAGATGGGAAAATGTTACTTTCTGCAGTTGAACTCCTAAAATACATTGAGCCAAGTATCCTAGAAGTTTAGTTTTAAAAAGTAGTGATCATGTCCATCACATTAAAACTATAATCACATGTGTTTGGTCTGGCAAACAGCGCAATCCTGGTTTTTCTTTTACAAATAACAAAACCAAAATATTCACAATTTATTTGTTTTTATTTATTTATGAAGGAGCAATATACTGTTTAGACAACTAATATAACAACAACATAAACAAAGTATAGGCTCAAAGTTGAATTAACTCTCAACCTCCCACTTTCGTCTCTCCCTCAACTGACTGAACTCCCACCCAACCCAGAATTCTTGTCTCTACGGCAACCAGGTAAATGTCAGGCTCTCTATTCCATCCCCAGCGACTGCTGCCTATCCAGGGGTGAGCCAACTGCCAACCTTACAGGAGTTGCTGGAAGGCATCTCTCCACAGCCACAGCACACACAACCAAAGGTGAAGGATGACGGGAGTGGCAATCCAGCAACAGCTGTAAGGCCACTAACTGCCTACTCATAGCACATGCCCATAATATCTAGCAGCCATCAATCAACTTCTCTTTCTCCATGAACTTTCCTAATCCCTTTTTGAAATCATCTAAGTTTGGAGCAACCACCACATTGCCATCGGACCCACAGCTAATATTATTTCAATGAAAAAGCCTTCTGGAACAGGAAGGTTTTGACCTGGGGCCAAAATGTCGTCAGCGCCAGACGAATCTCAATTGGGATGGTGTTCCATAGTCCGGGGGGCAGTTGCCGAAAAGGCCCTTTGTCTACAAGCCATCCCTCTTACCTCCTTGAGGGGCAGCTCTTTCAAAAAGGGCCCCCTGGCTAGATCTTAACTGCCGGGTAGATTCATATGGAAGGAGGCAGTCCTTCAGGTATCCAGGGCCCAAGCCGTTTAGGGCTTTATATGTCAAAACAAGCACTTCGAATTGGGCCCGGGAAGCAATGGGTAGCCAATGTAATTTAAACAGAATCAGCTTGATTTGTTCCCTAGCGGCCTCACCACTCACCAGCTGCGCAGCTCGATTCTGGACCAGTTGCAGTCACCAGACCGTCTTCAAAGGCAGCCCCACATAGAGCGCATTGCAGTAATCTATGCGAGATGTTACTAGTGTTTGTGTAACTGTCATGAGACTCTGCTCGTCCAGGTAGAGCCATAGCTGGTATAATTTCCGCAGCTGAAGGAAAGCGCCCCTGGCCACCGAGTCCACCTGGGCTTCCAGAGTTAGACCAGGGTCCAGGAGCACCAGCCTTGGGCCCAGGTTAGGCTTTTTTTTGAGTGGCTGAGTTACTGCCTCTTTCAAGGTGGTAGGGACCATTCCCTCTCTCAAAGAAGTGTTCACAGCCTCCTGGACCCAGGTGTGAACCGCCCCCCGGCAGATCTTCCAATTAGCCAAGATGGGCAAGGGTCAAGCGGAGTGGTGGTAGAACGGACAGATTCAAGCGCCCTGTCCACATCCTCAGATCTCAACAATTAAAACTCATCCATTAATACTTGACCTAAGCACAGCACACTGGACACATCCTCTGATTTTGCAGTAACGGTGGAGTCCAACCCACTGCAAATCTCAGTGATTTCCCCCCTCAAAATGATGGCAATTAATAATAATTTTAAAAACCCTTCTAAACCCTTCTGGCTGCAGAGGCAGAGGTTGGGAGTTCAATTCCCCACTTTGCTTCCTGCAAGTAGAGTCAGCCCATGTGGATTTGGATAAGCTGCACAGTCCCAGTGTACTCTGCAGAAGAAGGGTATGGTAACCCACTTCTGAGTATTCTGTACCTTGAAAACCCTTTAAAGGGTCACAGTGTCAGAATCAACTTGACTCAACTTGAATCAACGTCGTCATCATCACCAGCATCATCATCACCATTCTTCTTCTTCTATCTGGGTAGACTTTGTAACCACTTATGGTACCAGATCATAGCACATCAAGCTCTTCAGCTGTGGATAAATAAATAAGGAAAACCTCAACCTTATAGAGGTACTACATCATTTGAGGCCAAGAAACAAATGTGCAAACTTTCAAGATTTTCAGATCTTTTCATGAGAGAAAATGTTACCAAGATGTGATCTTTAAAAATTACATTATCCCTCTGTTGTCTGAGATATAAATGTTGAGGATTCTGAAATAGAGTTCATTAGATAATGTGATGGTATATTTCAATCAAAAAAAAGTTTGCTTAAGCATTTTGAAAGCATCAAGTCTACCTGCAAGTTCAGCCATCCTAGGTGTTTTTTTTGTTTTTGTGTGTTGTTTTTTTGTTTGTTTTTTGTTAAAGTAGACACTGTTGGAAGAGATTGTGAGATGGTTTACAAGTTCCTCTTGCACATTGCCACAGAAATAATCCTCATATTAAATTACCGCCACCACCCCTGACAACAATAGTTCACTGTAATAAATGTGTTGGTAACTTAAGATCCTCCAGATGCTGTTGGATTCATACTCCCATCATCCCCCAAACAGACAAAACTATGATGAAAGACAACAGGAGTAGTAATTCATCAACTAATAATGCTGTATCTGGAAAGATGTGGGTCCTTTATCCTTCCTGCAGTAGATCTTTATGCTTGCCTATTAAATTTGTTACTCAGAAAGAAGATAAATGTAATGTAAACTGATTCATATATGTGATGTTAGCACCATCAGCTGGCATCCTTGGGCAACTGCTAGCAGTTTCATGCATTTTTTTTCCCTTTCTGGCTTAGTACTTCACAATTAATTTTGAGAGAATATCACATAGAAGCACTGTGAGCAATTAAGAAGATGAAGAATCTGAGGGCTTGACTATGCACAGAGATCTCCCCATCTTTATTGAGGGTGATCTAGAGTTTTTAAACCATGACTCCTGGTTGTTTCTGCTGAGATCATTGTAGTCATCCACAGCAGAAATGAATTACAACGTAGCAAGAGTCTACACTACATACAACTTTCACTGGGGTCATACCTTCCTATGGGACTAAGTGCCATTTTCCACACCCCTTCCTTTCATCCCCCTCCCGTTCAGACTATTATGTCGACAGAGAGATAACCCAGTTAAAATTTCACCATGAACAGCACCCTAGGACACAAACACCCACTGCCCCTTCAGAGCGACAGGGAACAGAGACAAGGGGAGGAAATGAAAGGAAAGAGGAGAAAGGAGAGAAAAGAAGGCGAAAAGGGAGAAAAGGGAGAAAGAAAAGGAAAAGGGAAGGAGGGAAGGGGAAGGAGAAGGGAGAGGAGAGGAAAACAAAGCAACTTTTAAAAAAAGAAGTTGAACCCATGCCAGTGAGGAGAATACACCGAATGAATGACCATGAAAAAGGACTCGAAATACCTGTGCTTAGCTTTACATTGTGCAGTCAGTGGGAAATAGATCAAATTTAACCGTGCCAGCTCCATCGCACCCTCAGATGTATTGGGTTGTTTAGAACTGGGAAGGGTAGAAATGGAGCTTTGAAAATAATATTTGTAGTATTACAAATTCTACATTTTAAAAAACCATGGAGCTAAAATAATTTACCGGTTCATGTTCTTGCTATTCATTTGGGAGCACATCTTCCTTCTCTTTATTTTTCCAAAACTGAGTGATCCATCTAGAAACCTTCTCCTTTGGAGCCTGTGAGCTTGGTCTCACCTTCACCAGGATGCCAGACACCATCTGCTACATTTCAACAGAAGTAAATTCTCTATCTTTCTCCAACCTCAAGAAAGAGCTATCCCTTATCTCAGGGTTAGGAAATCTTTGGCCCTTCAGGTGTTTTGGACTTCCACTTTCAGAAGACCCAGAAAATTAGGCATGGCCAAGGATTGTGGACCAAATCTTCAGGAGGGTCAATGTTTCCTATCCTTACTTTAGTCCTCCTCCAGGGAGATATTTTGTTCTCCCATAGGTACCTGATTGGATGTACTGATGATACCAGTATTTCCCCTTCCATAGGGATGGCAGGAAGCTTAAATCAGTACCAACAGTGACAATAACAAAAACCCTAGATTTCCACACTTTTAAAAACTACTTCCTCCTATTTGACTTGCAGTGGCTGGGGATGGAGGCTAGGTGGCCCTAATCCACTAACAAAGACACACAAACAATCTGAAGGTCATTTTCAAAGGTTTTCACAAGCCTATTGAAAGAGCTGTTTTACAGCTGATTTCCTAAATAGATTAGCAGTGGGCCTTTGTGGCAAAAGGCTCAGATCAGAAACTCTAAATATTAGCACCAGTCTACTAAAAAACTGAACAGCAGAGATCAGTTTAAAGCCTTTTTCAAGTTTTTTTTTAATCAAACTGTGTCTTTCAAAGATTCTGATTTCTCACAGAGAAGTTGAGCTTTAAGAAGAAGTGTTGACAGAACCTCTGTTAAGATTAGCACTCCTTTGGCACCAAGCAGTATGAATGAGCACAAAGATGGACGAGCAGATGCACCATCTGGAGGATCCCTTAGTTAACTTTATGACCTTCGGTGGATGGAAAGAAAAGAGTTGCCTCGGCAGGTTTAGATCTAATAAAGTTCAACACAAAAACAACACTACCATCATAAGAAAAAATAGCTATGCTGGCTAGAAGATTCAAATAGTTGTACCTTTTCGATGCTCTATGCCCCTCCCCATTGCAAAATAAATAAAAAGTAATCCTAGTGTCTCCTGTATGGATTTTGAGACCCATAGAGGAGAATAGCTATAAATTCTACAGAGTTCACCCCTTTCTCTGTAACTGGCACTTAAAATCTAAATAACTCATTCTCAGATATTTGTCAGACAAAGAATTAAAAAATTACTTAAAGTTGCTTGAAATTACAGACCTGTGTATGCTGCTTTCTTTAATGAACTCAGACTTAGCAACCAACTGAACAGAACAAAGCAAAGCAAAAAGCAAGGTGTGCTGCTTCTATACTGTCCCATAGTGTTTAAAGCACTCTCTGGGTGGATTACAGTTTAATGAGGCAACCTACACATTGCCACCCAAGTGAGCTGGGTAGTCAGTGTACCAACCTCAGAAGGATGGAAGGATGGGTTAACCTTGGGCCTGCTACCTGAGCTCATCAGGATCAAGCTCAGGTTGTGAGCAGAGTCTTGACTGCAGTACTACAGTTTAACCGATGCACCATGAAGATCAACAGCAAACAAACAACTGCCACCAACTAAAAGAGAGAGGGGGAAAGAACACTCAGCAGAGAGGTAGGCCTCTTTGAAGTCAAAGGCTGGAAGAACTAACTACTGATTATTTCTGGATACAAAGATAATTACCCCAGTTGAGAAGAGTTCCTCCCACTCACACATACAGTATTACAGACAGCATGTGAGGTTGCAAATGAAACTCCAACAGTGTCACATCAGATTAATGTTTAATAAACTGTAGGAAGGGAAATGACTTGAGTTTTAAGGAGAGCAGAATTTGCCAAGGAAAAGTACAGTGTTGGTAGGATTATGTCGGATACAGAAGAGGAATGGGTGATTTGCTACAAATAGTTCATAAGATATCATGGCTCTGTTAGAGACAACAGCGCCTGTTGCAGCTGCTGCTACAGTCCCCACTTCATTAACATCAATACAGGCTTTGTGAATAACTTTGGACAGGAAAAGTTGGCGTGAGGGAGACATTCCAGAAAGGTCAGCTTTGGACTCGTCAAATACGTCAATCATTCCCAGTTCTTGCAGAGTCAGGTTGAGGTCACAGGTGCCTTCCAGCTTGAACCGGGGTATATACATCTCTACGTGATCTTCATTCATATTTTGTGAAGCCATCCACTGCGTCAAATTCTCACAGGACAGCATGTCCTCAACCTGCAAGGTTAAAAAGGAATTCACAATAAGCATTAGAGTAAATCACATTGGGGTATTTAGTGGATAATTAATATATTAACCAATATTACTATAATACCTAGTAAATGAGTCTAGGCCAGTGATGGTGAAACATCTTGCATGCCCAAACAGGTAAAAAAAAACAGTGGGCTGTGGTGGAAGTGGCAGTGGCAGAAGTGGAAGTGGCAGCGGAAGCGGGAATCCCGGGCACGGAGGTGCCTCCAGATTCCACCCTGGATCCACCTCCAGTCGTGGCCAACCCCAACACTACCCATAGCTCAGCCGGCATGGCACCGCCAGCTGCTCTGTCTGGACACTAGCACTGCGGCTACAGCCACCTCCTCAGGTTTGGCTGCCGGGGTAGCAATCCAACAACTTATGGCTTGCATGCCCCCAGAGAAGGCTCTGCGTGCCAGCTGCGGCACGCGTGTCATAGGTTCACCATCACTGGTCTAGGCCATCTAAAGCACCTACAAGCCTGCATGAGCTCTGAAATATTTTGAGGATATCCTCTTCTCAGTCTCGCCTTCCTCATAGGCCCATTAGGTGGAGAATGCAAGGGGGAGCCTTCCTCTTGGCTGATCCCCCATGAAAATCCCAGTCAGAGTTGTGAAAGACTGCTGGGGAAAGAGATAGAAGAACTGAGAGAGGGAAAACACTTTTTTTTTAAACCTCTGTTTGTTCCAAGCACAATTTTTTAAAAATTTTTCCAAGGATAAAACTGGAACCAGAAAGATGTTCTTTTGAAATATTGTCTTTTTATTATTATTGAAGGAACCACTTTTTAAAGACATGGTTCTGCTCCTTCAAGACACCAAGAGCTGAGAACAGTATGAGGATTTGTGTGCAAAGCAGTCTGCGGAATTGTTGCCCTCATCGCATGCCATCAAGTCACCTCCAACTGATGGAGACTCTATGCGTGAATAACCTATTAAACAGCCTGCCCTCAACAGCCGTGCTCAGCTGTTGTAACTGTCAGGCTATGGCTTCCTTTATGGAGTCAAACTATCTCATATTTTGTCTTCCTCGTTTCTTGCTGCCTTCAGGAAAAGACAGAACCTGCAAAATTAGAGGGCAATAATTTCTGTGTGTATTGTAGATGTATACAATATGGTATTGTAGACATTACTGTCTCCTTCATAAGAAGAGCAGAGGGGCTCAATTTCATGTGGGTTACAATGCATAGGTTTCAGAGGGTTTCAGCTTTCTCTTCAGTAGAAGGCATACATTTCGCTTGCAGAAGACTGAGGTTTTTATATTTTAAAATTATTTAAGTATGCCAAATAATACCATTTCCAATGCTAAATATGTGAAGCTGTGGTACAAATACCACTCACAAATCTAAATTAAATGAAGCATTTTACATTAAGCAGTAAAACAAGTTCAATTTTGATAGAAAAATGAGTATTGCGTATATTTCATTTCCCCTCCCCCCAACATTTCAGCTGTTCTCAATATGAAAATCAAAACCAAAAAAGATGGAGGGGTTGTTTCTCTTCCATGTCTTTAAATGCACATTATTTAAAAGGACGCTGGAGTGTGTGAAGGCTGCCACCATGCAACTTTTGCTAGTCTTTAAGTTGCTACAGGGCTGTTTGCTGGCTGAAGTTAATTTCAGCTCCGCAGATGACTAGCTCCCAGTGCTGAATTCTGCAGCTATTCCTTGTTTTCCTCTTCAGTGCATTTCTTGGTGGAAAGTGGGGGGGGGGGGGGGATAGGCCTAGTACTAGGAAGGTTTTGAAACAGAAAATGATGTCATCTGAAGGCTGAAACAGTCACAACAGCAGCTTTGCTATTGGTAGCAGAGTTCCCCTAAGAGTTCATGAACATTTTTTTCCAACCATCACATTTCACAACTTCTCAAAAGCTGCAGGCTGGCTTGCTGTCATTCATCAAGCACTGCCAAGAAAGAAGCATTTGCAAACAGACTGATGTATTGAAAATGCTTCTTTAGAAGGAGGTTTTATCACACTGTAAATGTGAATTTACGTCCCACCTGTTCCTGCCCTAATCCCCCTGTAAAATTGTGAGAACACGGCAAGGCAACTGGACAGCTTTTTAAAAAGCAGAAGAAAAAGAAGCTTTATCCAGAAGCACCATCATCTCAGGTTTCTTCTTATCTTTGTAACCTTGGTTTTCTGTTTCAGATGAAATAAAATGCAATACCTGGATGTCTTAAATCACACAGAAGAAAGGAAGAGGAAACAGACACATGCACAAGGCACAAGCTTAATCAGGTAACATGAATGTTTAAATTGGACTATTATTTTATTTATACTTTGCTGGACAAACATGGTGCCCTGCTTTTGATTTACCTGTGCCAGACCATTGATGTCATTTGGCAGCATAATAATCATGGAAAACACTTCACCAGTGTAGGGGAGGCAAAGAATCTGCATGTTCATTGGCTCGGAGTATCCCAGCTTGAACAGACCTTTTTGATGCATCATAGGCACGGGTACACTTTCATTCTATTTTTAAAAATATAACCGAAGGATGCATGTTAAGATACGTATAAGCCAGTATCCTATTGTGAACAGAATGGCAATTGTATAAGCTGTTTTCTCCATTTTCAGAGAATCTTTTGCACACCCAGTTGTTTACTAGTTCTGAGTCTTTATTCCACTACCAGTCACGTGACTGAGCACATGCTGGAAATCTCAGATAATGGAGAAAGCTGCTGCAAGGTAAATTGAAACTAGATAGACCATAAGCTCTCATTGTGCTATAGTTAACCCAGAGTTCAGAAATGTTTTGGGGTTTTGTTTTGTTTTTTGGACTACAGTTCCCAGAATTCTTCCCAATCAGCATAGCTGGAAAAAAAAAGAAAAGAAACAATGTTTCCAAGCATATGTTCTTGACATAAATCCAATTCTGAGTGTCAACTAGAGCAGCAGTGGATCAGTGAGCTATACAGAAGTGTTGACTTCTCATTCAGCACTTGATTCAACGGGGGCTTGCAATAGAACTCAAGCATTGTTGTTGGATCAATGAGCTAATGTACATGATGTGCTTTGAATTTGTTGAATAAGATACACATGTGCTCCATCCATTGCTACTTATCAGCAACCGTTCCAACAATATGCAGCTTTCTTGACACTCAAACCCTTATCTGTTCTTTTTGCTGTCCTTAAGTCATCCAGAGAATAAATCTCTGTGTGTATTGTTGTCACCTAGTGGCGTAACCAGGAAGTGCATTTTAATTTGTATTTTGCAAAGGCAAGGAGAACTTTCAAGTTGTTGGCAGCATCTTGGAAAGATCATTTAATGCAAGTCCTCACTGAGTTCCCCACAACCATTCAGGTCTGGTAGTAAAGAGTGAGGCAAACAGGCCCCGAGACACCCCAGCCTGAAGCTATCAGAGGTTGTAGCCCCACAATACCCATAGGGTAAATACCTCTCCCAATAGGATACAACCCAGCCCAGACTATGGCAGGGAGTGCCACGAGGTTCAAAGTGGTTTTCCAGCTTTGCACCACTGAAAAGGCATACGTTCCTATCATAGTATACTCAGTTGTGCAGCAATACCTCGCTGAGCCTAAAATCTCTCTCTGTTGTTTTGTTCGGATCAAACTGGTGTTGCCAAGTTGCTTTAAAGTAGACAGCATTTGCCAGCACCAACACAACTTCTGGCCCAATCGTACCCGGAGCAAAAAGTTCCTTGATGTTTCCTGAGAGAAGAAGAAATTTGAATCAATGTGGGAAATGTCAAAACCAAGTGCACACTTTTTTAATATAGCAAGATAGGTTTCAATGTTTGAACTTTAAAGCACTGCAGAAGCAGGCTTCCCTGCACATATGTACAACAGCTAAGTATACCCACAAGGGTATTCTATATAATTCTGGTGGTCCTAGGGAACAAGGGCAGGCTGCCCCAGGCCCAGAAATGCTTTTGAAACTGGTTTTCAAAAACCAAAACTTGATTTGATTTGAGGATGAAGAAATTCTCCCAGCCTGTATTGTGTGAAAATTGTTGCTCCTAGAAGCAGAAAAACACATTTCGGTGTCAAATTTCTTTTATTATAGCCCTTTTTGTGAAGCCTGCTGAGGTGTAAACAGTGCTAGTTGGGTTGGGGGGTCGAGCTGCACAGCTGCCCAGGCCAGTCAGGTTATTTTTGGCCCCAAAGGCAGAAAAACACACAACTGGTTGTAAAGCAGCCCCCTGCCCCCAGGCAGCAGACTTTTGTTTCATTTATCATGTTGTATTTTCTATTGCCATGAAAACGGAGTAGCACATCTCCAACAAAGATGGCTTTTTAACTTCCCTGATGAAGATTTCCAAAAAGGACAGCCCACCACACTTCTAGATAAATAGCTCTGGTTAGGTCATGACTCTTTCTTATTGGTCCCTGTTGTGCCATGAATCTCAAACCTGCCTTTCTGCACTGCCCCACAGAAGAACTCAATAAGGAGGACATAAAGGCTGGTCCTCTTAGAAGGGAACTTTCAGTACCTTCTCCTGTGCCTTTCTAGCTCAAGACAGCAACCTTTCCTTAGACTTAAAGTCTGAGCCTCTTGTTTCTTTGCTTGAGAAAAGACTGCTATTACAAGACCTGTCAAAGACCCCTTTGAAAAATACAGCCAGTGCTCCAGGAAAGGGGACTAAATATTGAACGCTCTCCATAAGGCTTCAGGTTTTTGCTGAGACAATAAATCTCCACAGCTTGGTTAGCAGAGCTCTCTGCAGTCTCCTTAAAGACATATGCATTGCCTCTCACTGTGCCTCCCTGGCAAAGACCCTATTTGACCTCTTCTACTTCCCCTGCAAGCCCCAAATCCCAGCAGATTAACACCCATCATTATGACAATATGCTTTTAAGATTTCTTACCTTGTGTCTGTTTGTCAACTTCAAGATTAATTGTGTGCCTTGCCTCTTCCGTTGCATTATAAAAGTCAACTGTTTGCAACACAGCTCCATAGACTTCCCTGGCGCATGTGAGATATTGCTGTGGGATTTAAAATAAATAAATGAGAAATGTTGTGCATTTCTTAGATGAGGCCTTTTCAGACAATGGTTTAGCAGCACCAGTAACTCACATGCATCTTCCTTCGCAATACCTTGCTGAAGTCAGCTTTTTTAGGAAAGGAGGGTAATCCACCAAGGGATTGTCTCTCAACAGTAATACTTAAACATAGTCTAGCCTCTGTCCCATCTTCTGGAACATTTGGTCACTACAATGAGTGGTGGCTGAACATGCAAAGCATGTTGTGAAAGGTACGCAAATTTGATTAATCTTTAAAATATACAACATACTTCAGACAATAGTGCCCCTGTTCATGGTCACAGCAGACTCTTTCTGGTCTAAGGCAGGGAAAAGGAATGTATTGCTTTTGTAGATTTGCCAAGTTTCATACTTCCAATGGGGAGATAAATCTCAAGCTGAATGACACTAAAGAAAAATATAGTTTTACTTGTGTCTATGGTAGGACTTTAAAACCTGGGCACCCATTTCCACCTGTTCCTTGATGACATTGGGGAACACTGGCTCAGCATAAAGGTGGTGGCATATATGCTATAAAAAAAAGCAGAGACATCATTTTGCCGGCAAAGGCCCCCATAGTCAAAGCTATGGTTTTTCCAGTAGTGCTGTATGGAAGTGAGAGCTTGA